GTTGAAAACAGATCCAATATTTCTTAGATACGCAGACAATTCCACAGAATTTACTCTTGAAAAACACGTTTGTATTAGTCCCGTCGGTATACTTCTATCTGTTTCAAACTGCAGGTACCTGAATATGGCAAATTTGGGTGTGTGGAAGTGACCGAAACAGTTCTACCAAATGAACCAGAGCCTGGACCCGTAACTGTTGGAGGCGTCCTGAAAGGTATCGGAAGCGCTGTTGGTGGTGCTGTTGGTAGCGCTGTGCAACGCCTAGGCCCATATGGCCAACTATATTAGCTCGCTAGATGTAGATTTTATGTTGATGCATTAACTTTTAAACTGCATATCCATTTAACGAGCCGTACAAAAACTGTTTATTGGTGTTCACTTGTTTTTGATTTGACGTTTCGGGTGTTTGTTAGGTTACAGATGTCTGTCAAAGTATCCTAGCTTTTAAAACACTACCCCGCCCTTATGCTTTTCGGATTAAGCCAAAAACGCGTGGTGGCGAGGCGATTTTCTGCGTGTGCGAACAGTTAAGAGCTGCTTAATTTGGAGGGCTTTTAGGAAATGTCTCAAGCTTTGCGCGGCGCAAAAATTAGAATTATCCTCAAAAGCTTACAAATGTAGACAGTCCGAGTGATCACTGTGGCATAGTGGTACTGTCGCATGAAGTAGTGGCATTTTCATGGCCGGTTCATTTTCGGCATTAATCGCTAAAGCCCACAATCGCATCAGCCTACTGTTTCGTGCTGCTCATCATATTTCCACATTCTCTTCTTTGGACCGTTTCCCTCCGTTAAGTTCATATTTCGGTCAGCTGTTGGCTCTCGGTTAATGCTACGATAAATTAGATCCACATACTTTGAGTAAGTGACTTCCAGGTAAAGTGTCAAAAGCATGGTTAGTTAATATCTTAATTAGGAGGGAGGGTGGGGGAAGTGGGAGGGGAGGGAGTGGGGCGGGTGTTGGAAGATCTAAGCGTCGAGAATTATGGAGCCATATGTTGCGTGCTTAATCAGTCACATGGAGGAAACCTAGTGAGTTCAGTTGTTTAGCTAACCTCTCCGTTGAAAAAAAGTGATTCAGGGAATGAGATTACTGTCGAAATGTAAGCTGTATGTAAACATTGTTCCGAATGACGAATTTGGTGCATGTGTTGTGTGAATCATTCATTAATTTTGTATTTTTGCTGGTAAATCGGTTGGGTGCGCTCACCATCGGTGCTTCAGTCTCAGTGCTCAGCTATATGAGACCTCACGCTCCAAAATACCTGTGAGGATTGCTGCTTGTTCGGTATACAGTAAATGAAAAAATTTACCCAATATGAAAGGCGGACGCACACTCAAATAGACTTAACGATAGCATGTGCCAGCAACAACCGTCCAAGGCAGTCGATGGCTAGATCTGCCGAGGAATGTTTAGAAGCAAAATGCTGAACATAAATTCGCCATCAAAACAAATGAACAAATCTGATTCTTCTTGTAGAAGTACCGTAGTTCCGTGCGAGGAAACCGGTGCGCTCATACATTTTGTTACGCGCTAATGCTGAAGTTGGAAATTGCAAAGTTGCTGCATTATGCAAACAAGAAATGTTCAAATACATATAACCCAGCTGGAATGCACCAGCCTTACCGGTACGGCCACGCGTTTTTGAGTCACACTTGAAGTGCTCAAATCGTTAACTGCACGAATGGTTGGTGCTTTACACCTATCTTTTGTGCTCACTAGCGTAAATCACTACAAATTTTTTATAAAATAAATGAACAATTTCCATTTAACGGTTGTTCTTTGAAAGCAACCTAGCTGTTCAGTGGGCAATTTTCACGCCAAAACTTTTAAATGCCCGTACATGAGAACCATGCATAACTGGAGACTGAGTCTGAAATATTTATGTTATGCTAGGACAGGGAAAATTCCCCTAAAATTTAAGCTTTCCAGCTTTTCTGGTTCTCGAGTTAGTAGTTTTCAAGCCAAGTGCTTCACATCCTCGTCCTTGAGTACCATGTGCACCGGGGGGCTGAATTTGAAACCTTT